GACCACGTCTCGCGTAACAGGCTTCGTGATATCTCACGAAAGACTTACGCTGCGACGCGCCTGGCATACATATAGCTACCTTAACTTGCGGAGCTGAAACCCGGGCCGGGTAGTTGGAAAATGTACACAAAGATACGGGTCTACGGCCTGTCAACGGCCCGTCACCTCGACTAAGCATACAGGGTTGTACTTTATTTTTGTCAGAACTACCATCTAGCGCCTCAACGGTTTGACCTAGAGCAAAACGGACCAAATTTTCGTCCAAAGGTTTTCCGGTGTTAAACTCAGATTTCAAAGGCGCTTTAAAGAGCAGTCGTTTGCACCCCTAGATAAGGTTTGACACTGGTTTCAGCTGCCCGTAGAGAGTTTAAAGGTCGTTTTACCCGAATGTAATAGGGCATTCCGCTGCAACAAAATCGGAACCTAAAGAAGAAAAGCATGACTACCCGATCTGTTTCCTCCTGAACGCTGATTGGCCAAAGATGGCGTGGCTGTGGCGGTCAGCCAATGAGCGCGCAGAGGGAAACAGATCGAGCAGTCATGCTTTTCTCCTTTGGATTCCGGTTGGCTTGCAGCGGAATACCCCATTGAACATTCGCCAAATTTGTAGCCTGATAGTCAACTTCACAAGCACGTATCTCAAGAACCGGTTGAACTACAGCCCCCCGATTTTCAGGGAAATCATAATTTAGCACGTTCTTTACTTGTACAAAATTTGAACAAAATCGATTAGGGTCGCTAAAACGGGTCCCGAGAGGAGATGGCGATCCTAGACCAGTTTTTGGTGACCCCCATTGATTTGATTCAAATATTTTTATGGAAAGTACTAACTAAAAGGTTATGACCTGTAAAATCTTGGCGCTGTGGCTCAAAGGGTTCCGGAGATATGTGCATGCAAAGATGGCAAAAAAAAGGATGAATTTGGGGAATTTTTGATGAAATTCGCGTGAAATGACCTCCAAACTCCTTACGGACAGCTAAAACCAGAGCCAAACCTTATCTAGGGGTGCAAATAACTACTCTTTTAAGTGCCTTTGAAATCTGACTGTATCACCGGAAAACCTTCCCTTGTTAGGCAACCATAAAAAAAATATTTTTTAACAAGCAGGCGCGCCCTTCCGCCAAACGAAGTTGCCAGCTCCGCTTCGCTCCGCCGGCAACTCCGTTCGGCAGGGGCGGGCCTGCTCGTGCTTGGCCTGCCGGCGGCGATGGTCGGGCCTGCGGCCCGACCGTTTCCGTCACATGATTTGCTGAAGAACATGATCGACTGATGTAGCGGGCCTTCGGCCCGCTTAAACCCGTCATCTTTGGGTTTGCCCCAAAGACGCGAGTAAAGGATGAAACGGTGAAGCACAGCGACTACAACCCACCCTTCTGCTTAGAAAACGTTTTTTTGGGGGTGGGGAGCGAGTTTCCTTTCTATTTTGCGGTTTTTAGGCCTTTTTCTACATCTTATTGTTCACTATGGCAATTTTTAGCTTATTTTCATTTAAGAAGACCCTCTAGTGCTTAAACGGTTAGAGATACAGCAAAACGGACGAAGTTTTCGTCAGAAGGGCTCTACTTTAACGAGTTACCCCTTACGAGGCCATCCAATATTTTTTAAAATTT